TCTTTGCGCGCGCGGGAAAAAATATCAATTAGCCAATCGTATTGCTCTAAATTTTTCCTATGATTTGATTGGTTAAAATAGAAGTTGTCTTACAGGAAAATTCGATTGGCGTACCATTCCGTCGTTCCTTGTACAGAAATGTGCCGATATCCCAAACTCGGTCAATTCAACGAACTTCCTGAATGTTGGCAAATTCAAGCACACTGGCACTGGCTGAATTGTAGTGTAGTCTTTGCTCTTGGAGATAATCCTTCATGGGAAACTATCTGCAAAGTTTTGGTGCAATATTTACCTGACATCGATCACGATAAATCGAAGTTATCAACGTGTGTATAATTACTTCGTGCTCGGCATCACCGACCGATTCGTCAAGATCTCATTTATGGCATGGAGATAGGCGAAGTACAGACAGCCGCCCCTCAGGGAAGCGCACGACAAGCATGAAAGCAATGCATTCCATCGATTTTATAAACAACCTCTAGATGCCCCTGAAGTCACGGTAGGATACGCAGCTCTTTCGGCTTGACATACGACCGAGTGGCTTGGATTAATGAGAATTCCACGCTTCCGAACCAGCTAGTACTTCAAATGTGAAACTCTACATTCTTGCTTACAGCTAATCAAAAATTTCCCCGCCATCTACCAACGCAACTTTGTGCACTAACTGGTTATCGTCCGTGGCAACTCCGGCCGCCTCCATGGTGTCGAGGACCTCCAGACCTTGCACAACTTCTCCAAACACGACATGGTGGCCGTTTAGGTGCTTGGCAGGCCCGAGCATGAAGCAGAATTGAGCTCCATTCGTGTTGGGCCCGGCGTTTGCCATCTGCAAAATGCCGCGCTTTGAGTGCTTGAGCGTGAGCCCCGTCGCTTCGTCCTCTACAACCACACATCATTGCCGTATCTACCAAAGAGCAAGGATGTACCAAAGTCTTTGCCGTAAATGCTTGTTCCACCTTGGGCGTTGTAAGAACCACATTGCACGATAAACCCTTTCAAGATGCGATGACAGGTCGAGTTCTTGTAGCTCCAGCCGTGCTGGTTGTCCCCAGTGACCAACCCGCGAAAGTTTTCGGCCGTCTTGGGCACTTTGTCCATGTACAGCTATGCATGAGATTCATTCAAGGCGTTGTACAGAGCGAGAGGCACCGAGATTGTACCTCGGCGACGATACGCCCAGCTGGGACATTGTCCACAGCTACGTCTATCCACACATAGCGTCTTCCAGGAGACCGCGTCCAATTTCGCGCAGACTTCGGGAGCTGTGGTGGCAATGTTGCAGTCGCCGTCGAGGTCAGGACTTTGTGAAGAGCTGCCCGAGCATCATTGACGCCGACAGCCGAATCTCCCGCCGACGCGAAGAACATCTTCTGCATCGACACGAAGTAGATGATCATGACGGCAACAATGGAGAATGTCGTGATCTTCATCGCAGATCCAGACGTTGTACCCGTGGAGGCGCCATTGCGCCGTGGCGATGGCTGGTGCATTGCTGTGGACGCATTCCATATCATGTTCGAGGTCGACGATGGAGAGAATGGAATAACTATCGTCCAATTGGTCAAAATAGATGTGAAAAGTAATTTTTATTGGATAAGAGCGCTGAATTTCAAATCGCGTAATAGTTGCAATTACGGAAATACGACGGTCCACGAATATCGTGTTCAATCCAGGTATTCACCACCTTTCTTCAGCACAACGTTGTGCTTCAACACGACGCCATCTTCGGCAGCTCCCGCCGTCTCCATCAAGTCGACGACTTCAAAGCCATCCACAACCTGGCCGAATACGACGTGTCGCCCATTGAGATGCGGCGCCGCGCCCAACATGAAGCAGAACTGGGATCCGTTCGAGTTGGGGCCAGAATTTGCCATTTGGAGAACATAACGCTTGTCGTGCTTGAGTTGGAGTCCCGCGGGCTCGTCGTCTATGCATCGCATGAGAACTGAGACTGTTTCAAAGGAAGCAGCAGTACTAAATTTGCCGGTGCTGTAGATGCTGCGGCCGCCGTATCCTTTCCCGGTTTCGAAGTCCCCACATTGCACGATGAACCCCGTGATGATGCGGTGGCAGACGGAGCCCTTGTACGAGAGCCCTGCGGCGTTGTCACCCGTCACAAGCGCGCGAAAGTTCTCGGCAGTGGCGGGCACAATGTCCATGTACAGCTTCCGATTGCACAGTAACAGCAATGAACACCTTTGTGCGAGAATGATAGGAAGAAACGCCGTTACCTCGGCGGTGATGCGACCGACTGGTGCTCCGTCGATTTCCACATCGATCCAGACGTATCGACGACCGGGAGTGCGCGACCATGATCGCACTACTGGCTTTGGCGCAATTGTTGTCGTAGTAACTGCAGCCAGTTTGGTTTCGTCAGCGGATGCCTTCAACTGAGGGGAACTCATCGCAAAGGACTTCTGAACCCATAGGAAGTAGACCAGCGTCACCACCACGAGAAACGCTGTGATGTACTTGGGGTAGTTCATGCCGGCGGCGGCGTGTCCTCGGCGGCTCGTGTTCATTATGGTGATCAGCCAAAGTTGGAGTCGCGACTGAGTTCGATACAAACTTGAAATGTTGATATATTATATTGATAATATAATAAACTCCTCACCTCAATGAAATGCTGAATGTGGTGAAGCAATTTAGCATGAAGGACAAGTCTCAATGAACAATTGTATCCAGCATTTTAAACAAGGGAATATTATCCGTGGGCCAAGATAAAAAAATCCATTGCACGGATATTTAAATTGCATTCGAAATGCAACTTGAAGGGTCAACATGCGTGACGACCACACCGTCGCCACCAGACTTGGGAACGAAGACTCGCTCGGCCCCGACGATGTACTCCTCGTCGCAGCTTCCGTCGAACATGCTGTAAGACCCATCGTAGACAAATCCAACCATCTCGCCGGTCTCGGCGGTCTTGACGATCCACGCCAATTCATATTCGCCCTGGGAATACCGGCATGTCACACCAAACGGAGTTCCGTTGATGTCAAAGCGATGGTTGGACCACAGGTTGTATAATGAGTCGAGCGCTGGGACCAATGCTGCTTTGTGGGCGGCATCCACTAAGAGAAAGTACCCTCCCCCAATGAGCCGGTCGTCTTCGCGGTAGTCCGCTGCACTCGCACGAAAGCGATCGTGTACCAGGGGTGTATTTGCTTCGAGGCTTTCGTAACCCCAACCGTATCGACCAATCTTCTGTAGAAGCAAATCGCCTGTGACATTTGGGGCTACGATGCGAGTAAGCAACGACGATGGCATCGTGTCCTTGTGGTGGCAGATGAACCCAACGTGGTCTCCATTCATCATGACTTGTTCGACGAGCCATGTGCCTGCCTTGCTCGGCACAGGCTTCTTCTCCAGAAGGATGGGCGCAATGTGACCAACATATAGTGCGCCTGTGCACTCGAATGCAGTTGGAAATGCCGAGACAGGGGTCGCGTTGGTCTTGTCGACCGCATTCACCATGACGAAGCCACAATGGAGTAGTTTCGGCGCTGAGCTTCAGATTACTTTTAGTTGCTCCAGTACCATCACTCTCGATTGAAACGAATGCATGTCGTCGAACAAGTTGAATTTGGGCACATTGGCAACCCTGCATCGTTCAGGCCCTCTGGAGCTGACGACGCGCCTGCGGGCAAGAAACTGCGTGGGATCGATGAATATGAGAGCGTTGAACGTATAGCCTTGCGCGGCACTTCATAGAATCGTTGGCTGGCTTGTTGCCAAGAGATATGGGACGTTGCAACAGGACGACTTCCTCACAGATTTGTTGATGTGGAGCAGCGCACAAAGATTTGTTGATGTGGAGCAGCGCACGACGAGAACGAACTGGTGATTATCGACCTTCCAACCGGTGCCGCCAATTCTCCATTCACGTGCATTCGCCTGACAGTGGTGGGTCTCTCGGGTCGCGGTCTCTGCTCACGATCTGCCACTCAACTTTGCTCCAACTCGCCCCAATGGGACAATTTGAGATCCGCGTGGAGAATGCAGGTCATGGCTTTTCCTAAGGCGTTTTTGGTTAAACGGGCTTAACCGTAGAAAGCATGGCAACAACAACAAAATTCGCATTCATGGTCTGTCAGTTAGATGAAGTATTCGATCCATAAAGAGTTCACGTGCATGATTCCAACAACCTGCACGACGCGCGGCAAGGGAGCTCTTGTCGCCATGATTGGAAATTCCAGGATGAGGGCGGACGAGGTGGTTGTGACTTTCCATGTCAGCGGCGTTTTATTGCGTTTATTATACTCAGTAAAACGCAAAGAGTAAAATCCAACGAGTTCGGTATGGGGTGCGATGCACGTGCGTCGTCGACCCCGAGAGAGCGCGATGCTTGACGATGGATCCTCCTCCGCAGCGAACGGCATCCTCAGAGGTATGTATGGTAAATCCAGTCGGGGATACGTTGGATTTACGACGGGTGGATCACGATCGATAGGGACCGTGCACCCCCCATTTCATGTCCTGCATTCACGCGCACCGCTACGTCCATCGCCTTTCCTTTGGAACGCTCTTGAGTGTTTGGTGTGTACGCGGTTGAATGGAGCGATGTCTAGGAGAGCGGCATCGCCGTCCTGTCCCGGAGACGACAGGGCGACGTGTCAGAGGATCATGTGTGTACGTGGCATTCTTGGATGTAGATACTCGTACATACTCATCAGGAATGGCCCTCACCTGCTACGTCGTCGTTCGTCCCAGTCGTCCGCTTCAACGCTGTATGCCCGCTACAGAGTCGTCGAGCGTCGAAACAGTCGCGATCACGAGCGATAGCAAAGCGCGGCTTTGCTCCACGCCGTCGTCCCTCCGGTGAAGAGTGCCGTTGGTTGAGTCGATGTACCCCCACGGCATAATCCACCAACATTCGGCAACAAGAATTTCGGCGTTGGCCAATCAAATGGAGAAATTTATAGATTATACATCTTTTCAGCCAATAAGAGTTGTTGCTGCTGTTGAGTGCAGGTCTATCTTTCAGAGTGAATTCACCGAACATTGCAAGCTGAGGAAGATGTCGCATTCTCAACTCCGCCACATCGTCGAAACCTCCCCCGCAACGCCATGACTGCCACGGAATTCGTCCTCTCCAACGCCGCTCTGTTTCATGCAACTGTCGTTGGCGACGACGAAGACGTTGCTGCCAATGCAATGGGACCATGTGGCGGCGACCATGACGACTTTGACTCCCTCGGCCCTCCGCCGTCGATCCACCCGATCTTGCTGCGCGCGTCAGCGATGGACTATACACTCGCGCAATGCGCCCCCCTGACATTCTCCCAAATCGAAGCTTCGATGGCGTGGTGCTCGCCGTTCACGTCGGTGCCGTAATTCAATCGCACGGCAACCGCAGTACCTTCCCTTTCTATTTATGCGTGCATCGGCGATTCATATTTGGCTCTCCTTCCTCGACCATGAATCAACTTATTCGCTTTTGATCCATGAGTTGCCACAATCTCGGCTACGATAGCTACATCGAAGAGCATCTTGAGTCGAAGTTTATATGGTAATGCATGAACGGTCTCCGGTACAATTGCGCCGATTCCAGGACAAACACCGTCGCGCGCGATGCATTCCAGGTTGCAAGAAGCCGCCACTCTAGGACTGGATCCAAGAGCTGTTGTGCGACGAACTGTCGAGACAGAAAGGTCACGAAGTCGGGAGCGTCCCTTCTCTGATGGTTGGACTCTGTAGTCGCCATCCATGCTCGGTCAATGGACAAAGAAGAGGTAGGGACTATACTGCCTGGGAACCAGGCATGCGCCGCGCCGACACCATGTCGAGCAGTGTGCGCTGGAGGTTTTCCATCGACGGCGCCAAGTTCAACTCTCTCGACGACACTTGCACTACTCCATTTGGTACATGTAGTTGGGAATCTTGAACGGCGACCCCGTCAACTCGCCTGTAATGTCGCAGAATTGGTCGCCGATGCACCCGACGATGATGTGGTTGTCGCGATGGAGCTTCCTGCGCATTGTTTGCTTGAGGACGGCCACGGACAGCATCTGCTCGCACGGCGCGCGCATGATCAATCTAGGTGGCAAGTCTGCGTTGGTGCATCCAGCGACCGCGTGCTTCACGTACTGCGACGTGTCGATCGAGTACCCCGCAGCATGCAGCATGGCCAGCGTGTGGTCGCGCACAACCTCAGGCCGCTCTGTCAAGAACATGATCTACAACCCAACGCTCCATCAGGTCTCGACGATGGACCTGCACACGTCGTCGTGCGCCGTGTGCACCTTGATGCCTTTCCATTGCAAGTACGTGTAAAACTTGAACAGGAGCGGGATCGGTGGCGCATGGTACCGCGCGTAGTAGTAGAATTCGGTCGCCGGGATCGCCTGGAACGACCGCTCTTTCATGTACCAGTAGCTCGTCACGGCGGTGTCGTCCACGTCAAAGACAAACACTGGCGCAAGTCGCACGCAGTTGAGGCATCCAAAGATAAACCAGCTCTCCTTACCAGACCGAGGGACGACCGGGACCGACTCGAGCTTTCGAACAGCGCGGCTGAGGATGATGCCGCAGTCACGGTCAAAGAGCGACGTGCGATCACTCGACGTGGGCTCGTAAAATCCTCGAAGAAAGGCCGTCGACATGCACAACGTTGCCAAATTGGACAGCCGAGGCGCCTACGATTCCATGAGACCCGTACGAGCGTCGTGCGCGGCAGCGTACGAGCGCTGCCGACTGCGTCAACGACTCATCGAGATGGAGATTCCGCCCCAGCAACAATTGGGCTGGCGCGGGTTCGACCCCCACAACGCGGGCAAGCTGGTCGTGAGAAACACCGTCGCACAGTTCAAAGCTAAGACGATGGAAGAATGAGCGACGTTTGAGTGCATGGTTCAAGCACCGAGACGGCACGGTGCGTTGGCCGTGGGCCTTGACAAAGCAGTCGGGGACGTTCACGACGTTTGAGGGGTATGGGGGCAACGGCTCCATCAAGTCGTCCTTCGCCCGTCGGGACGTCGCCAGAGAACGGCACAGCTTGCGCCGTGTCGAGTTCAAATCGCTGCATGTCGTCATGAGGACGAGGATGCACTACGGTGAAGGTTCCCTCACCTGATGAGGGCCGTACGGATCGGGCAATACCCGAGCCCGACAAACGCTGACAAGAATGCTTCGTCGAGCTTGTACATTTTGCCTTCGGCCCGTGCTTTGAGCAAGTATGGCTCGTGCGCGCCGTGAAAGCGCGTCAGCATCTGCGTCGCCGTCGCCCGGGCAGCTGGAAACGTCAAGAAATCCATTTCGAGCTATGCCGAGTGCATCAGACCGCGGCCGCGACAACATGTTGGCACCTGGAACTTCTGCACGTAGGCTTGGTACACAATGTCGTCGCGAGTTCCGTCATCCTGGTCGATGATCTTCACAAACACTTTGAACGCAAGGCGCGACCGTGCGTGTTTCTTGGCGTGGATTGCCCACTCAAGCTCGGCCAGAGCAGGATCTCCCGTGCCGCCCCCATCGCTCGGCGCCATGTCGCGCTATTTATAGCAGCTGGCTGGGACGCCATCGTGCACGGCTCTCTCGGCCACATCTGCAAAGCGCCGGGACACGTCGTTTAAAACTCGTGATGGAATACACCAAGAGCTCTGTACGTCGGCCTGGTTCGTGTCCCAGCCACTGACAGCGACCTCCATAAACGTGTAGTACAATGGCCCGACCACGTTTGGAAGGTTGAATGGCCAGGGCGTGTACTCATTTGGCGATGGTAAGCACGGAGCAAAGGACGTAATCGTGTTCGCGCGGCGTCCTGACCGCGATGCCCAGGATCCCGATACGAAGGCGAGTTCCAAAACGGCCAGTTCCACGGGACCGGCACGTTGTACTTTGCAGAGGGCAAGTACGAAGGAACATGGCGCGATGGAAAGGTAGGATGCCGATGGAATGAATTTTGATGGCTCGTGCGTGATGGCATGATGAATGCGGTGCAGCGCGTCGACGGCAAGTTTACGTTTGCCGATGGCCTCGGGTACGACGAGCCGTGGACGTACATGAACGATGGAGACCGCCGATTCCATTCGGAAAAGATGGCGCACGTGAAAGCGACCAACGAAACCAAGGCGGGATGGGGCATCCTTCCGGCCGGCGAGACAGCGCACTGCGACGAGGGCTTGCAAAAGTCGCTCCCGATGGGGTACTACGACGCCGGCAACGGCTTGTACGACGAGCTGACCAACACAATCATGGCTGTCAACACCAACGACACAACGACTATGCCTCGGGAAGCGACGGCGGACGAGGCGCGGTGGATCAAGGCCCAGGCGGCCAAGGGGTTTCCGCAAAAGAACCAAGGATAACACTACACGTGCGATCTCACGTTTCGATTGAGAAATTTTACACTACGCCACAGCAAAAACGCGTGAGTGAAGCAGTGACGAGGACTGAATTATGTATCCAAGCTAACCTGCATCCGATCGGGTGAAGCGGGCCGGCGCAGGAGCTGGCATCAAGTGCGCCATCGGCCCCGATCGATAGTCAGGCTCGTTGTTGCAATACGCCGCTGGCTTGCACTCTAGAGTGGCGCTGGTTGACGTGCATGCTGTGCCTTCGAGGACGCCGATGAGTCGGTCGTTTACCTACATAAAGCCATCGCTTGATCGATCGCCCCGATCGTATCTCGAAACTACCGTCAAGCAGATCTCGAGCGTGCGCTCATCGAGTTTGCCCGCGAGCCCGGCTTCGATCAACGTGTTCATGCGCGGCTGGCACTGCTGCAAAAAGTCAAGCACGTCGTCCAGGTCGTCGTTCGCGCCTGCCGTAGCCAGCGACACAAGCGTCTCGTACGTCTGGATTTTCTCCTGCACCGTGACGAGGTCGCGGTTAAGTTTTTGAAACTCCGCCGCCAGGCTTGGTGGGATGGTCGGTGCAGGGTGTTTGTCCAAGTCTGTGGACGGGATTGCAAAGTCACGGGCCGCGGACGACGATGGAGACAGCGGGGTCGAAGGGAACGCCACGCCTTGCCCACGCAGTTGCTGGTATGTGTCACGAAATATCGGTTGGCTGGGATAGTTTGTCGACCACTCTTGGAGCATGCGCGACGCACGCTCTCGCACGTCCAGTGACGTGTGGTTCACTAGCGCAACAACTTCCTGGAGGAACACGCGATTCGCGAGGTAGTTGTAGAAACCAGGACAGTTGTTCAGGACCGATTCAGACACAAGGAGGGCAAGAGACACGCTCTGCTCATCATTGCCCACGCGGCGCCCCAGCACGCGCTGCAAGCTCCGCGCCGTTTCCTCGGCGCTACAACGACGACGATGAGGTACATAGCAGCATATCGACGAGGTCCATACTGCGAGGATGAGCAGCTCACTAAGTCGCACAACTCGAGGATGTTGATCCAGTCGGGGTTGGACACTTCGCCACTACAGATCGTGTCAACAAGACCACCAACGTCCTGCTCCGCATCCGAGTACGCCGATGCCATGTGTACAGGCCACGTTGGAGGAAATTTTGCCAAGAATGTATGTTCATCCGGATAAAACATCATATCCGGTCGTTTCACTGTTGCGTGCAAAGATAGTTGCGATATCCCATGCATTTTTGGCGCTTTGACGGATGTAGCAGTAGCGCTGACTAGTCTTGGCAGGTACATCGATGTATTGCGGCGGCGACCATCTACTTTGCCGCTCTCTTCAGTCGAAGGGTTCACCATAGAGAGTCACATTGGCGGCCTTAGTGGATTGCTTCGATGTAAATAGTGGGCATGCGGCCGGCGGGTGTTGTCGCATGCACGCCCCAGCCACAAGGATATTCTGCACTGAGGTACTCGTATGCTACAATCGTTTCCGGAACGAGCCACTGTTATTCGGTCATGTATTCGAATATCCGGATACGCCATGTCGAAGTTACACTCCACAGGATCCTCATTTTTCAAATTGAGAATGCTGAGGGCCATCGTCCGCACCGCGCGCCCCCGTGCTGCGTCCACGTGCATGCACGGTTCTCGTAGCAAGCACACACTGGTGCTCATGCGTCATGGCGAAAGCGAGTGGAACAAGACCAATCAATTCACTGGCTGGTATGATGCCCCGTTGAGCGCGAAAGGTCACGAAGAAGCGAAAGCTGCCGGCAAGGCCGTTGCCGACGCCCGTTTGACGTTTGATGTGGCGTACACGTCGTACTTGAGTCGTGCCATCCGCACGTGCTGGCATGTCTTGGAGCAATCCGATCAAATTTTCGTCCCGATCCATAACGAATGGCGCTTGAATGAACGACATTATGGTGGCCTCACCGGGCTCGACAAAACAGAAACCGTCCGAAAGCACGGCAAAGAACAAGTGTTGATCTGGCGCCGCAGCTACGACATCCCGCCTCCCCAGTTGACGACAGATAGTGAGTACTACCCCGGTCACGACCGCCGATATGGTCACCTGAAGAAAGAAGACTTGCCATTGAGTGAGTCGCTCGAGATGACCGCTGCGCGCGTGATGCCAGTGTGGGAATGCGACATCGTACCTAACATTCGCGACGGTAAGAACGTCCTGATTGCTGCCCATGGCAACAGTCTGCGCGCGCTCATCATGCACCTGGACAACATTTCCAAGCACGACATCACGGAACTGAACGTACCGACTGGCGTGCCGCTCGTGTACCATTTGGACGACAACATGACTCCAATTCCCCACAAAGACGCGATCGCTCCATTGAGCGGACACTACCTAGGCAACCAGGAAGAGATTCGGGCGCGCATTTTGGGCGTCAAGAACCAAACCAAGTAGTCATGTCCGAAAATCCAGCGAAAGGCTCGACCTTGTCCAGTCGGACGAGTTGATATTCCCACCTTACTCTGCACGCAATCCCATCAATACACAATTGTCCATTTACAGCACGACTGTCGTCATAGCGTTGAAGGGCAGCACGCCTACGAGAGAGTTCTCTAGCCATCGAACTGAGAAGACCTAGAGATAGTCACAATCTCCTTTACGGACAACATTTCACAATTCTTCTTCCCATGTTCCGACTGATTGGTTGTGAATCACCTGACAAGCGCAAGTGGTGGTAGAGGGCGGCACAACAAACAAATTGCCTGCATCTTCTTGGCCACGTGCCTCCAGTACGACAATCATCACGGGTGTTGCTTCCATCCATTTCTGCTTCTCCATCCGTCGGCGGTGACTGGAAGGACGCATCCAGCAGGCGCTGCGGAGGCGACAGTGGCGAGCTAAGTGACGAGGCCACCGCGCGGCCATTGCGAGCTACATCCACGACCAACGTGAAGCGGAAGGAGCTCGTTTTTATTGAACAAACACGGCAACCGCTGCGGCTGCCACTGCAAATACAACGGATGAAGACGGCGTGGCTGCACTCACAACTGGCTTGGCCGTCGTCAACGGACTAGTCGCACACTTGAGCGCCTTGAGCTGGTCTGCGGTGAACGTGTCAGCTTTGCCAGGATGGGTCGCCGTGGTCGTGCTCAACGTCGCGCCAACTTTCCATGTGCAGCACGGATCGCCGAGCTCTTCTCCGTTCGTGGCGCCGTCGCCGTCGGAATCGGCTTGGCACAGCTCAGGCGTCCATTTGGTGCCGGCCCTCGCAAAGGCCTGGCCGAACGCATTGCGCGCGCCGCCGCCCGCCGGGTTGACGTGACCAATGGCCCCCACGCCGGCGACTTTATCGCCGTTTGGCACCTGTGCGACAAAGCTCGGGAACGCGACGGCTTGTGCGGCAAGACCGAGGACAATCAGTGCTTTGAACATGGCTGTGAACAATGGAAATTGACAATTGCGTCCTTTCGCCGAGTTAGCCCAACGCCGTATATCGTAAAATATTTGTTTCCCTCAACTTGGATTCTTTGTCGGCTTGAATTCTGGCGAACGTCTCACAAGACGGACGGCACATGTGGTGGCGACATGGCGCCGCGCGTATACTCTGCCAGCAGATGTAGAGCTGCCTCCACGACTGCCGCGTCGCCGTCAAGAGCACCGAGTTCGTCAGACAGGAGCTCCTTTTGAGCACCACGCTGCGCCAAGAGAAGCCGGTGCATGTCCACCGTCCAGAGTTGATTGTCCGTTGGATTACCGATGTGGTTTCGGTGGGTCGGCAAGCAGATGTATGCATCACATGGCGACATTCACACATGCATGGCGCGGAAGGAGCCACCACTGGCGTACGGAGGAGGGACATGCTCGTATCGCCTATGGAGTCTTGTATGTCGCAGCGCTATCCGTCGGCGGTGACAG